ATGACATACTAACAAAATTGGAAAATATCAGTAGAGCTGATGACATTAGGAAGTGTTTATTAATGGGAACATTCCCCAAAGCCATCAGATCCCTCAGATACTATTAAAACCCCATATTATTATAGTTAGTAGTTTAGCCAAATCTACTAAACTCACACAGAAATTAGCCCTTTAATTCTTCCTAGTAGCGTGATTGAAAAAATACTGAGGAAAAAATTACTGTGATTGCACCAAAGCAATGTATAATGACTGAAAACAAATGTTCGGCTATTTTTTAAAAATCTAACAGCTGTTAATATTGTTTTAAAAACATCTTCAGGTTTTCAATTTTTAAATCACTTAAACAAAATTTATGATGCTCGTATGTCAAAGATAGAAATAGAAAACACAATAAGGTCATGCATATGTATACTCTCACAGTTCTAGCTGGGAGACAATCCCTTTTTTCGCCCTGCAGTAAATTGTCCTGAGATTAATGATGAAACATTAGGTAAAATTAGCAAGAATTTTTCTTCAGTTATAGAAAATCACATTGTAAAATATTTTTTAAAAAATATTAACAGCTGTTCTTTGTCTTGTGCTTAATTCAAAAATAGGTATAAATTTGCTTCTTATGGGTCAGAAAAACCTAACATCATATTGCTATAATATACCTAAAATCCTTTTCAACTTATAAATTTGTTTTAAACAGACCACATGTTGCTTTTCACCAATTTATAATTTAGGCACCTGTTCTTTGAAAATGTCTGGTTTGAGAAATAAACTGCCACCTTCCCCTTCTTCTAAGTGACACCAGGCAGTGATTACAGAAGTGCTTCCCAGATGAAGGATCAGAATAGGGTTCATTCTATAAACATTGTGATTTTTGGTTGATGGGGGAAATGGTTACAAACACAGCGTGTTCAGTCTTTAACTCTCGGTAGATTGTAAGCATAGCGCACCAAAGGGAATCCTCGACTCTGGTAGAAGCAGGCTCGTCCACAGGCCTGCACCTGGTCAGAACTGTCTGAGACAAAGGAGTCTTCTTCATCTGCATAATCAGAGTGGGCTGACTGTGTGCCGCAGTCAGACCAATAGCCCTCCGGTCTTTGGCAAGAAGCCACTGCCAGTGCAGGACAGCTGTGTGATTTTATTAAGTGTTTGCACGATACTGGCTTTGTCAGAAGAAATGATTCGCAGCAGTCGCACACAGTCAGGTTACCCTGCAAGTGTGAGTACATGCCACAGTCGTAGTAGAAATCCTGTTCCACACAACCGCCTTGGCTACTGATGGAAACTGAAACTGACCCATTTTTCCTGGTAACACGTCGCTTCAGTAACTTCCAGTCTTCTTTAAACTTTGGGTTGAAGAAAACATACAGGACTGGATTCAGGCAAGCAGGCAATGGAAAAAATATCAGAGTAACAGACTTCATTATTTCAGGGCTGATAGAGATTGCAGTGATCAATGGTGCAAATGAGAAGAATGCAACAGGGCAGAAAAAGATGCAATTGGTGAAGATTAGCCAAGCAACATGCTTAATCATGCTAGATTGTGAGTTTTCTGAGAGGTCCTCTTTTTCCAAGTTGCAGTACAGTTTAGTGTAGATAATGGCCATTAATAAAAATGCGAGTGAGTTTAATAGCACTAAGGTTACAGTAAATCCTAACGATGGTGCTTCTCCAGTAGGAAACGGCAAGCACAGGGGTGATGCAGAATATTCCCCTCTATGGAAAAGGGGAAAACAGCCTGCTACTGCGGCACACAGGAAAGCAAAAAGGACAGCAACTCGGAACTGTTTGAGATGATTGCTTTTCCCATTTTTCATTATATCTTTTGCAGATAAGCTTCTTTCAACAGTCGCTAGCATTAATAAAAATATGGCACTTTCTGAGGAGAAAACTGCAAGAAACCCAGCTGCTTTGCAGCCATTGCCAGTCTCCCACCAAATGCCAAATTCAGCAAATCTGCCCCAGGACACAGCATCAAGAAAAGTTAAGATGCCAGTATAGATTCCCATGAATAAGTTAGACACAGAAATCAAGCCTATGAACAATTTGGAGGAAGGCAGTGAAGTATAAGATGCAAATGTTGTTAAAATGACAAGTAGGTTGAAAAACAATGCAACCAAGAAAATGAACCACACAGTAAGACGAATCATCCAGCTTCCCAGCAAATATTCACAGGGCTTAAAAGCACCTGAAATGAAAAGAGAGAGAGAGAGGGAAATAAAAGACAATTTAGAAAAGGCCATATTTCATATTATACTGTCTTGATAGAGAAATTGATAGTTAAAATTAAACCTACTATCTACCTGAATTGAACCAAATTGAAAAGATTACTACTTCTAAGATATTTTGTTCATAGACTAGGCAATTTTAAAAATAAACTAACTTTAATTTATCTTATTAAATATTTGATAAGGCCACAGAGTGATATTTAGAAGAAAAATTTGATTTTTTTCTTACATCTAAGTTAATATGCACAGCACAATGTCTGGCACATAAAAGGTATTTGACATACTGAGAGTCTGGAATCAGATGGTTTATAACTTGCTACTTGCTACTCTAACCTTGAGAAAGCACTTAAATTTCTATAAATTTCATTTTCTCACTTGTGGATAATAATGCCTGTTTCACAGAGTTGTGCAGCTTAAATAAAATTACATACATAAGGTACTTAAGCAGGTTGCTGGGTATATAGTTGGACTTCAGTAAATATTAGCTCCCTTTTCTTCTTCCTTCCTAGTCTCAATATACTTTATATATGTATATGTACATACACCTTTTTTTTCATCTTTTTACACATTTTCTTAGGTAGAAGTATCCCCATTTTTCATCAAGAGAAACTGATATTTCAAAGCAGATGATCGATCAGGCAAAGGTGATTCAGTAAGAAAGTATAGCTAGGACTAAACCACAGTGATGTTAACTATTCATTCAAAGCTATGTATAATAAAATCCTATGTAACACAAACTAGGATTGCAAGAACTCATTCAGTGGCTGAATTGCACATTCTAGTAACTGACTTTGACATGCTAGTTATGTCACATGACAACTGTTTTATTTAAAAATTAGAAAAGAAAAACAAAATTTTGACAATGAGGTGCAGGGAAACTATGTATTACGATTGCCTAAAATACATGTTTTATCATTCTGAACTGTCATGAAATTGATATATCCAATGAAACATTTTAATTGTTGAGATAGTCACAGACCTAAAAAGCCGGTTCTGCACCAACTATCTGACTTCCAAATAAACACAAAACACTTTTAAAAGAAATTAAAATTTCTGTTTTACTCCCTCCTCAGGAAGTGTCAAAAGAAAGCTTTTTATCACCTTTATCTGTTATCTGAATTCATCCTTCTTCATGGAAAGAGGGGTAGCTCATCTGACCTTGGAGAACAGGATACCTCCCCTTTTGAGAATTGTTTTATAGGTAAGGGGGTTCCTTTCTCAAAAAAGCCTGGGGAGTAGCCTCCACCCCAGTCTCTGTCTTTGGAAGCCTGCTGCCTCCTCTGGTTCTGAAGAAGGAGCCCAGCTCTCCTCCACTTCCTGTTTCTGTAGTAAGCCCTTGAGCTTCTGTGTGCTACCGCCACTGCGCAGGCGGAGGCAGGCCTGCAGCTCATCCCCACTGCAGCCTAGGCAGATCAGCTCAGACTGACTTTCCTCCTCACCAGCCCCAAGGTTTAGATTCAGTGTGGAAGAAAAGGAATTGCTGCATGTTCCAGTCTAGCCTCTCCTCTAATAAAGCTGTTCCCTTCTCAGTGGATCATCAGTTCTTTAGGGCCATTCTCCATCACATGATCCCCAGCGGGACAAGTGACTGAGCTGCCTCCCAACCTCCAAAAATCAATACAGAGACTAGCACATAATAAAATAAATCGCATAAACTTAAATGATTCTTGCCAACCCCATTCACTTATTTCTCTATATGACAAACTGTGTGTTAAGTATTCAAAGAATATATACACACAGCCCCATAAGAAGCTCACAATCCAGCAGTAATCATTAGTGAATCTATAATACTTATGATTCAGCACTATAAAATTAATGTCCAGACCATCCTGTGATATATACTAACAGAGGAATCTACTTTGTAGCACACAATTTAACTCAAGTATTTAATCCTTTCTTTTACAGTAAAATTATAATTCCATGTTATCTGGTAGATTAGATAGAATATGACAATTACAATCACCACCAAATATGTGGTGTCAGTTTAGTAACTTTCCCAAGACTGCTAAATTCAATGAAGCAAATCAGGAGGAAAAAAAAAAGGAAAGGCAAGGTTACATTAAAACACACACACACACAAACCCGCTAAAAATCCTTGTAGACCAAAAACTTATATAGAACTAGTCCTAGAGTTAAAGGAGCATTAAGAAAGTGCCTCTCAAACTCTAATGTGCATAACCCTCACCTGGGGAGCTTGTTAACATGCAGATTCTGATTCAGTGGGTCTGGGCCTGAGATTCTGCAAGAAAGGCCTAAGCTGCTGGTACACAGACCACACTTTGAGTCAGAAGGCCTCATGAGATCATCTAGTATTGCCTCTGTTATAAAAATCACATCTCTCCCCATAAATTTTAGATGTGTTTGCCTAATGTTGGTTTAGAGCGAGAAACTGTGGCAAAATAGGTTGGGTATACCTGTTGAGGGTGTACAGTGGATAATTATTTGACTATGTTCCTCATTTTCAGCATTGCTTGTGACATTTGCTGCATCAGCAGTACCTGTATATATAACATAAAGTACGTGTAATTAAAAATTCAAAAGAACCATACTTTCCTGCAATTTTCTGTTGAATGTTTTATTTTTAAAAGTTCATGCACTTGCCTTTTTCCTTTGCCACACTGTGGTCTTGGAGGCTGTTATCTTCTGTGTTTAAATTTGCATATGATTCACAACCCCAAAATGCACAGCACTGATAAGCATATGGTACTGATAAAGACCTGGAAAAAAGTTGTAAAATCTACACTGAATAGCAGTTTCACAGATATGATTTTGTTTGTGTAAAAAGTATTTTAATCTTAGAAAACCACAGCCTAGGGGTCAGAAAGACCTGACTGTCACATGGTTCAGGCTGGTCATTCATCCTCTGTGGGCCTTATTTTCCTCATCTGTGAAAAGAGTTCTGGCATCAGACGACACTATGAGTTTCTCCCTTTCTATAAGATATTGCTTAAAAGTTGGATATAAATCAAACCATATTTAAAATTTAATAAGCAATGCTATAATTTAAAGTGAAATCTTATGACTCCTTTAATAAATGTATTAACTATGCCCAATTTATCATACAAAACTGGTAGTTTAATTTAAAATTAATGCCCCAGGTCATTTGTGACTTCACACCATGAAATGAATTTACTTTTTTCAGATAAATGTAATGAAAATATTTATTGTTTTCTCCAACAATATTTTCAAGCTCTCTACTATATTTTATGAGCCCCCCCGTTACTCTAAAGTCTTCATGAAGTATTATAGCATTGTATCAATTTTCTATAGGTTCGCACTTATGTGGTTTCTGCCATATTGTTGTTACTGACAAGTCCCCTGTATTAAAAACCATTCTAATAAATAGCTCTGTTATCTCTTTGAGAACATCAAGCATTCCAGTTTTTGTTCTCAAAAACTATGGAATAATGCTCATGTTCTATTTTTTACCAAATTTGTAAAGAATGAGGTAGAAAATACTCTTAAATTATAGCCTACCAGAAAATCTGGGAACCACAGCAAAAAACCAGGACACTCTATAATTTTGCAGCCTACCATAACTTCAACAAAAAAGAAAAATAAGCAAAAACACACCTGAGATTAACAAAGTCTTTTGCTGTTAAGGCTTCTTTCAGCTTGAAGTTGCCTACAAGTTTCAATTGATTTAGCCCATTCAGGCCTTCCGAAGGAAATGAAGTTAATTCGTTGAAACTTACATCTCTAAAATGTGAATGAGACTTTATGTTAACACCTAAGATACAAAGTCGCATAAAAACATCTCTACATGTAACAGCATCATAACTATGAGATCCTGAAGATGAAGTTGAGGTGTGCTGAAACAATAGATCTAGCATGTATCTTGCCATTTGAGAAGACATTACTATCAATGGCAACTTAGCATTTATACAAGGGAAGAATTAAAGAGAAAAATACTGTGATTTTACAATGTTAAAACACAAATTTCTGTAGCACTAGTTACTACTTTCATGATATTACTGCATAAAATTGTCTACTTACAGGTTAGTTATTGGCCCAAGTTTGGCAAAAGCTCTGCTGTGAATTTCATGGATCAGGTTTCTACTCAGATCTCTGCAATTGTAAGAGTAACATGTTAATCTTTTCAAATAAACACTCAAAATGCCAGTCAGTTACTTAAACTACACTTTAGGATCTGAGGTAGCAACAATATCCTTGATAAGATAACAAAGATCTTCAGTCTTGTCCAGCAACATTTTTCACATTTATGTTGAAAGCCTTTCCTTCGCAACAATCCATTTCCTGGAATATGTTCCCTGGTATCTGTTTTGAAACAGTTGTGAATTTTCTCCACTTTATCATTCTGATGCCAATTCAAAAATATAAATGATTACAACCTTTGGTGCTCTTAACTAGGTGAGGAAAAGCCCAGCTCCTGACCAAGCTGAAAATAAAAACAGGCTTCGTATTATTTGCCTTCTCAAAGGTTAGTTTGATAAGGCCCTGAGGGAAGACAAACAATCAATACGCAAACAAGAGCATTCCAGGAGGGCTTCAGATATCATTCTTTTCCTAAGCAGGAAATAAAAATCACATCAACAGTAGAGCCACCTCTAAATTCAAGAACACACCCTGACAAATTTTGTTATTACAGGATAAAACAGAGAAGTGATCTTCAACCACACTTAAATTGAGTCTTAATGGAAATTTAAAAATTGGATAAATTCATCCCATGACACATCTCCTGGATAAGAGGAAAATTCAACACATTTGGTTTCAAATCATGAAAAGACCAGCTTTTTATTGTTGTCACTTATCAGTGCTGTAGAAGTGATGGCAGCTAGGAGCCAGCCTCCTTGCTTACCATTGCCCAGGCCCTCAGAAAGCTAGTCCACTACCCAAAAAGATCCAGCAACCCAACTGCTCCTTAAATATTTTCCAGTAGAATGCATGTTGTAATTTCTTAAAGGGGATATACTGGAAAGCCGTATTGAATCTATGTAATTTCACATCACTGTTAATTCTTCAAAGTTTTTCTGTATTAAGAATATGATCACTAATTTAGTGTATTATGTATTCTGTACCAAAGTTCTAGGAAGACAGTGAGTGACAAGGTTTGCCTTAGTCACCTCTTTATTCCCAAGTGCTTAGTACAGTGCCTGGCACAAATACATATTCAAATACAAATAATTTTTTAATTATTCTGTGCTTCTGTGGCCCATGAGCCATATTTGTCATGATAGATACTCCAGCACAGGGGTCAGCAAACTTTTTCTGTAGAAGACTGGACAGTAAATATTTTTGCCTTTGTGGGCCATATGGTCTCTGCTGGAACTACTCAATTCTGCCGTAGTAAGGCATAAGCAGCTTCAGACAACACTTCAACAAAAGGCCTGGCTATGTTCCAATAAAACTTAATTTATAAAAATAAGAGGCAGGTTGGATTTGGCCCACAGGGTGTAATCTGCCTACCCATGACCAAATAAATTGGCAAACTTCACTATTACAATTTGAAAACAAGCAAGCGATGTCTCTCAGGTGTAAT